CAAACTTTGACCAGATATAACAAAAGCACCATAAAAGTACCCTGAAAATAGTCCATACGACATACGAAGCCATACTATTGTAATCAAAGCAATGAAAAAAGTTGTAATTTGAGCTCTGAAATAGCGTTAGCATATGTTTCTTACACAAAACTGTGATATCGCTTCAAATATAGAACCAAGACTTTAAATATAGAATGTAAATTTCACCCTATTGTCATTTCATGATGTTTTGGCAAACCTGAAAATGGCTCTTTTTCCTTCAAGTGAGAGTAAACATTAGCCAAAAATGAACAAAACACCACAAAGTACAGTAAAAAAAGCCTCCATATGACAGTTGTTATTAATTGGAAGTGTTTTGATAGATTTGGGTCTAGAAATATACTTGTTATTGGAGCTTTAGGCTTGTTTGCATGTTGCATTACGGAAATACATCATATAACTTCCAAAAACTTAAAACATAAAGCATAAATAAAAAGAAATATAGTGGGTTTTTTTCTAAGCAAAATACATCCTCATTCTCTTTCAAGACAAAAATTACAGTTCTGCCATCAGTTATTCACCTTAATAACATTCTAGGACATTTACAAACTGTTTTTTTCCATAAACATTGACCAGGAATGATCATGAATACCTTAAAAACACAGAGGAAATTTTACTTTTAATCTCTATTGGCTGTGTTCTGAAACAATACTTTGTATGTGTGTAATTTACAGTACTTTCAGGGTGTTTTTAAGCTACATTCCCAATTTGCATTCAATATATTGAAAACAACAGCATTAACATTGTTTGTTTTTACGCAGACTACTCCTTAAAGAGTGTAGTTCACTCAAAAAATACAGATCTGTCACCTATTAATCCCCCTAATGTAATTTTATGATCTCTGAGGCAATCTACACTAAGATTTTTTTGTCTTTTCATTTACCAAAAACCACAGAAAAATCAGAGAAACACCATACAAGTGCATTTAAAGACCATATTGTGCAATTTTGCAAGTGTGTTTAAGATATAAGTTGGAGTCTTTTTTTGCATCAGTTTATCACACAAAATTACAACTTAAAATGATTTGAAATATGCAGCATGAACTATTTTCAACCCAAGCTCATTCTGAAAACGTAGCCCCATGGACGTTTCTGGAGTCCGTAGCTGCGTCCCAAATCGCATACTTATGCACTATTTTACGCCATTTTGTAGTATAAATAGTGTAAGTAGTGTGTTCACATTGAAAACTCTCAAAATAATAAGTGCACTTTAATTACCCGGATGATGCACTCATTCAGCCGCTAAAACGAAGTGTGTAATGATGGACACTTCACGCACTCAACGACCGCAGGTTTGCTTACGTAGCGGAAGGGGCGGGGCGATCGGACGCACATGTTGAATAACTTTATTTATTTTGGATGGTAAAAGCAAAATTCTCTATAAAAGAGTGATTATAGCGCCTCCCGATGGTGAATGCGGTTATACTCACGGCAGGTATTATTTGATAATTCAGTCGTTTATTTCACTGATTTGGCAACAGTCAAACGTCATCAGGGAAACGGTTTGAATTTCCGCTTAGTAAAAAAACATTACTCGTGATTTACGTGGCCGGAGATACCGTATGGCCGCATTTGGCCGCATCAACAGAATCCAGAAAATAAAAGCGAACGAGTTTGTGACGGGGCGAGAATGTGGCGAAATCCGAAAAGGCGGTCAAAGTCGGACGAGGGCTGGGATGGCAGTTATTTAGCCTGTCGGACAGACGGTCGCTCGATAGCGGCCTCCGGCAGCCTTTCGTGCAAGAACAGCAAGGGTGCTGCACAAATATGTACCTCCCGGGACGTATTTCGCGGCCTCCAGAAACGTCCGCTGGGCTACGTTTCGACAATGAGCCTGGGTTGACTATTTTTATGGCACTTTAAGGTGTTTATGAAAACTTTGTCATTGTTATTTGTCATTATTTATCAATTTTGTATTTTATGGATCAACATTTTTTCATGAAATAAAATTAACAACACCATAAAAAGTCGGTAAATACTAAATACTGCATGGCTTTTGTGCTGTGTACTGCATACTATAAATACAACACATAATTTTGTCCAACATGAAATATGGAGCATAAGCAGGTTTAACTGCTATGATGTTTTTATGCATTTCCCAATTTAAATAGCATTGAGAAAATATTTTCCATAACACCTTTTCAGTTTCTCAATACAAAACAATACAGGTTTGCAACAACACGGTGAGAAAATGATGTCACCCAAAGATATCATTAAAAAAAAAAAAAAAAATCACAGTTCTGTCAATCACTGAGATTCACTACTACGCCATGTAAGGGTAATTCGTAAATCTACATACTGCATTTTTGTGTATATTTTAAATACAATGACAGTAAACATGTTGTGTTTTTTTCTTCCAATCATTCCACAGACATAATCAAGTTATATCGGTTATTATTCATCACATAAAACAACTACATGGCCTCAAAAAACGTTTCAGCTTCAGGGCATTCCCTGTAACGTCATACTGAGTTGCAGTGCAAGTTCCTGTTCGAATGGAAAATACAGGATACTACATTACCATTTTTCACTACATTAAAAAAGCAAAAGCAAAAGCAAAAAAAAAGTACCCCTTTTTAAGACTCTCAAGAATGTTAAACATATTTTTGGGTGAACTGTCCCTTTAAGACTGATTGAAGATTGATCAGAATGGAGCAGTAGGTGTATTTAAGAAACACTCTCCTTTTTTTTTTTTTTTTTTTTAAAACAGGCTCTTTTTACAACTCCCTTAGAGGGTAACAGTTGAGTTTTACCATTTTTTTAATCCATTCAGCCGATCTCCGGGTCTGGCTGGAGCACTTTTAGCTTAGCATACAGTAGATCGTTGAATCGGATTAGACCAGGGGTTCTCAAACTTTTTTCATCAAGTACCACCTCAGAAAAAATTTGTCTCTCCAACTACCACCAAAATGAGTAGTATTGAAATACAGTAGCGTAGTAGGCCCAATAAAGCAGCTACAAGTCTGCAAAGTTAAAAAATCGTGGCAGATTACCTCAGAAATATAGGCTGTATGTCATATATGGCATATAATATACGTCCTTTTTGGTAAACTTTGAAATGTGTATAGCATGTACATGACATATTTCATTCTTCCGCGTACCACTAGAAAGAAGCCTGCGTACCACTAGTGGTACACGTACCTTAGTTTGAGAACCACTGGATTAGACCATAAGCATCATGCTCAAAAATGACCAAGGAGTCTTGATAATTTTCCTGTTTAAAGCTTGACACTTCTGTAGTTTCATCTTGTATTAAAGACTGACGGAAAATGAAAAGTTGGTATTTTCTAATATGCCAGTAACTATACTCTAATTATGCTGTAATAATTAAGCATCTTTGCTGCCATACCATGGCGGCAGCAGGTGCAATGAACCAGAAAATTGGCCAACCAGGTCTAGCTGGAGCCCGTTTCGCTTAGCTTAGCATAGATCATTGAATCAGATTAGACCATTAGCATCTCACTCAAAAATGGCCAAAGATTTTAGATCACTTTCCTGTTTAAAGCATGACACTTCTATTGATTCATTGTTCAAGACTGATGGAAAATGAAAAGTTGCTATTTTCTATGCTGATACATAGGAACTACAGTTAAAGTCAGAATTATTAAATCTCCTGAATTATTAGGCCCCCAGTTTATTTTTTCCACCAATTTCTGTGTAACGGAGAGAGGATTTTTTCAACACATTTCTAATCATATTAGTTTTAATAACTCATTTATTGTTATGATTGATTTATTAATTTATTTATTTTATCTTTGTCATGATGATAGTACAAAATATTTGACTAGATATTTTTCAAGACACTTCTCTACAGCTTAAAAGGACATATAAAGGCCTAACTAGGTTAATTAGGTTAACTAGACAGGTTAGGTTAATTAGGCGTTATCGTATAACGATGGTTTGTTCTGTAGACTAGCGCAAAAAATATAGCTTAAAGGAGCTAATAATGTTGACCTTACCCATATAATATACTCAATGTGACCAACTGCTTACACAGGGACCCTATGCTGCTCATGTTCAAAGTTACCAAACTGGAGACTATTTTCAGGTGCTGCATAATATCACTGCGCCTGCTGTAGCCATTGTACAGCAGCAAAATTCCTTGAGTTCCTTGAAACTCTTTTGTCATTTAAAATGCTAATGGTCTAATCTGATTCAATGAACTATGCTAAGCTAAGCTAAAAGTGCTCCTGCCAGACCCGGAGATCAGTTGAATTGATTAAAAAATGGTAAAACTCAATTGTTTACCTCTAGGGGAGCTGTACAATTAGCTTATAATCAAAAAAGTGGAGTGATCCTTTAACTGCAGTCTCTGTCTATTATGGACCCTTTTCACAGTCATCATAATCTTAAATCCTTGTCATTTTTTTTTTTTTTTTTTTTAGAATATGCAAAAATCATACAAATACAAGAAAACATCAACAGATAACAAATACAAAGCAACAAAACAAAAAAACAAAAACATCAACAATAGTCAGGTACTGGTATGTGCGTGAGTGTGTGCATGTGAGTCATTTTTTTTTTAAGTTTGTATATGTATTAACATATGTATTTTATCATCTTTGCATCAAAATCCAAAAAATAAATAAACAAAAAAATACAGCTTATGCAAGGTGTCTGAACTATAGGCTATAAAAAACTGCATCATCTCAGCAGGACAGTAAATTTGACATTGTTTTCTCTTATGGCTGCCATTATCAGTCTCGCACAATTCTTTTATTTCCTTGATAACACCATTGTGGAGTTTTCTTTTATTATTTCTGCAAATAAGACCATTGTTGCACTCTCCCATTCACTGCGCTCTAAAGTATAACCAACTATGACGACCTCCACAACCCAGAAAACCCAGAAATGTGAAAAGAGTCCTTGTTTATTTTGCGTGAACTGTCCCTTTAATACTGAGTGATTAGAATCAAGCAGGAGGGGTGTTAATTGCAATCTCTGTCTAATATTGTTCGTTAGGACACAGACAGAAACTGGAAGACCCCCCTAAACCGCCGCTGTTCTCCGAGCGCCTGAGCGAATTAGAGCGTTTACGCCAGACCACCATGAGAGTCGCTGTGCAAACCCAGAGTCCCCGGCCGTCTCTCAACGCCACGCCGAACTCCTTCAATCCACAGGGGCAAACGCAGATCTCAGGTAAACCGGCTCAGGCATTTTCCTTTCCTTTAAAGGCCCACTACACATTTCTTAAAAATAGGCTCATTTGTATAACTTAATAAGCTAAGCTTAGCTTAGCTTAGCATAGTTCATTAAATCGGATTAGACTATAAGCATCTCGCTTAAAAATGAACAATGAGTTTCGATAATTTACAGTATAACTATTCTGTTGTTACATCGCGTACTAAGACTGACGGAAAATAAAAAGCTGCTATTTTCTAGGTTTCAGTGATTTTATGCAGTGCTAATATCAGTACGCTAATAACGGTACGCTCCCTCTGCAAGCAGGTGGTCACCAGTGTTGGCTAAGTTACCCAAAAAAGTAATTTCGATAATTTCGCTAACCATTTCCTAGCCATATCAGCATAGAAAATAGCTACTTTTCATTTTTCGTATAAATACTGTCTATTTTTAAAGCTTACTATTACCATTTCTGAATCCGTTCATCTGAACTTTTAGCTTAGCTTAGCATAGTTCATTGAATCGGATTAGACCGTTAGCATCTTGCTCAAAATGACCAAAGAGAGTTTCGATAATTTTCCTGTTGACAGTATAACTATTCTGTAGTTACATTGTGTACTGAGACGATAATAAAAAGTTATTTTCTAGGTTTCAGTGATTTTACGCAGTGCTAATATCAGTACGCTAATAACAGTACGCTCCCTCTGCAAGCAGGTGGTCACCAGTGTTGGCTAAGTTACCCAAAAAAGTAACTTCAATAATTTCGCTAGCCATTTCCTAGCCATATCAGCATAGAAAATAGCTATTTTTCATTTTTCGTATAAACAGTCTATTTTTAAAGCTTGCTATTACCATTTTAAAGCTTAACTTTAAAGCTTAACTTTTTACAATCACCATAAAAAGTTACTCTGATAATTTCGCTAGCCAATATTAATCTAGAAAATAGCAACTTGTTATTAATTCATTCATTTTCCTTCGGCTTAGTCCCTTTATTCATCAGGGGTCACCACAGCCGAATGAACCACCAGCCAGTTTTTATTTTCCTTATAAAAATAGTCTCTTTTTACAACTCCTCAAGAGTGAAACTGTTGATTTTACCACTTTTGAGTCCTTTGAGATGAACTCCAGGTCTGGTGGTGCACTTTTAGCTTAGCATAGATCATTGAATCGGATTAGACCGTTAGCATTTCACAAAAAAAAAAAATACCAAAGAGTTTAGGTGATTTTCCTGTTTAAACTCTGCAGGCACAGAACATCAACATGATGTCATATTGGCGTTGTACCCTAACGTCACGTGGACGTTGGATTTTGTTCGGAAATGAAAATCGGCTTGATGCCTAAACCCAACATCAGGCCTACGTCAATGTCCAAAGTCCAACCTAAAATTAATCTAAAATCAACCAAATTTCAACGTCCAGTCATGTTACTTCTTGAAGTTGTGTGGACGTTACCACTTTGTCATCTATCAGACGTTAGATTTTGATGACTTTTCGACACAACCTAAAATAAGCCAAATTTCAACATAATTTGATGTTGTTATTGGACGTCAAAATAACGTTGTCCTTAGACGCTGGCTAGACATTGAATTTTGGTCACCTGACATCATGACCTAAATCCTAATTTTAACATCTTATGATGTTGTGTGCCTGCTGGGAAGCTTGACTGTTTAAATTTTTGAGAATTCAATAATAATTTGCAAGCCATTTCCGAGACAAATCAACCTAGAAAATAGCATTTTTTTCATTTTCCGTCAGTGTTTACACGTGATGTAACTGCAGAAGAGTCAAGCTTTAAATTAAAAAAAATTGTCAAAACTCATTGCTCATTTTTAAGCGAGATGCCAATGGTCTAATCCAATTTAATGATCTGTGCTAAGCTAAGCTAAAAGTGTGTCCCCGCCAGACCCAGAGATCAGCTAAATGGATTCAAATATGTTAAAACTCAACTGTTTTAGTTGAATAAAAAGAGAGTTGTACTGTAAAAAGAGTTTACTTTCCACCCAAAAATGTGGAATGTTCCTTTAACGCAACTATTTCAGGCTGTCAGCCTTCGTCCGTCGTGACTTTTATTACTGAGCCACCATGTTTTGTGCATTGCACAAACATCTGTATTCAAAAAAACAGGTAGGTTTATTCAAGGCCTGATTAGCTGGAGATAAAAGCAAGCGAGTGAGTATAGACTACATGATGCAAGAAATGGAAATGTCAGTGAATGAACATCAGATTTAAACAGAAGATACGGAAAGACATGCCAATTCCCAAATCCTTTTGTCTAGTTTTACTGGAACAAGGCATTATCTTTGTTTGGGATTGGCTGATTACATCACCTTAAAGGGACAGTTCACCCAAAAGTGTTTATTCATTTACTTCACGACTTCCAAAAGATGTTTAGATGAATCTTCATGCTACACATCGAGAGTCTTCAGAAATCCTATACTTTTAAAATGAGGAATAAAAGCAAATTTAAATCTTCCTCTCCATTCTCAAATCTCATCTCAAGCCGTCCGAACCGGGTTTTGGCAATGACTAATGAAGATTCCCCTGTTTTTGTTCCATGGAAAAAATAACAGCTCATGGGTTTGGAAAGACATGAGAGTGAGTAAATAATGACAGATTTTCATTTTTGGGTGAACTGTTGCTTTAATTCCATTACATTTGTCCAAATATTTTCATTAGTTCCTGCTTCACTTTTGGCGTCCATTGGAGCATGGGGTGTTTTTTTAATGTCTCTCGCATGCGCTCGGTTTTGGAGTTTGCATAATGTTTGCCATTCTCTTGGATGCTTTCCAGTCTCTCTCCCGTCAGAGCGGACGCTGTGTTTACTAGAATACTGTAGAAAACAAACAGGAAACCGTTCTTGGCTCTGAATGTGATTAAGCTATTTACATACCACAGCCTTTTATACTAGTCTGCTCAGACTCGCACTTCACATTGTTAAAAAAAGGAAGGTCACCATCTTTGTGTGCATCAAGAGGGGTTTTGGGGGGATACACAAGAAAGTCAAAAATATAGTCTAGTCAAAAAATATATATATATTGCATTGCTCTTTCATGACAGGTAAACAGAACCTTCTTTTCTCGTGCATGCACTTTTTTTTTGTAATTGTTGACTGCACTTTATATTTTTCCCAATGGTGATTCCCATTATATATTTTTTGTGATTTTAATCACATCTATTATCTATATTATTTAAGCAGAATTAACATTAAAATAATAAGATGGCAATAAAGCATGCAGTATAAATACTTTAATTTAAATATACAAGAACCATATCCATTATAAATGTATGTATTGGTTTGAATTTATTATTTATTATATAAAATATATGAACTATTTTGTTGATATTTTGTGCTTTTTGTATTTTATTTTAAATAAATAAATAAAATGAACACATTATATTTTACTTGAATGATATGAAGCCTGTTTATAGGACCATTAGTATTTATTATTATTTATTTATTTTTTGCATTGTGACATTATCTTATGGTAATTAAAAATCAAATAAAATTTTAAATTTAATTTAGTAATAAAATTAAATAAAAATATTTTCAAATTTATCTCTTTCTTGATGGATGAATATAGACAGACAGACAGACAGACAGACAGACAGACAGACAGACAGACAGACAGACAGACAGACAGACAGACAGACAGACAGATAGATAGATAGATAGATAGATAGATAGATAGATAGATAGATAGATAGATAGATAGATAGATAGATAGATAGATAGATAGAATTAATGAAATATATAATTGATGATGGATGGATGGATGGATGGATGGATGGATGGATGGATGGATGGATGGAAAGAAAAATACAGTGATGGATGGATGAATGGATAGGTGGATGGATGGAAAGGCAAATACAATGATGGATGGATGGATGGATGGATGGATGGATGGATGGAAAGGGATGGATGGAGTGATGGATGGATGGATGGAAGGATGGATGGATGGATGGATGGAAGGATGGATGGATGGAAAGGGAAATACAGTGATGGATAGATGGTAAGATGGATGGATTGTTGAATGGATGGATGGAAAGAAAAATACAGTGATGAATGGATGGATGGATAGGTGGATGGATGGAGAGGCAAATACAATGATGGATGGATGAATGGATGGATGGAAAGGTAAATATAGTGATGGATAGATAGTAAGATGGATAGATTGTTGAATGGATGGATGGAAGGATGGATGGATGGATGGATGGATGGAAGGATGGATGGATGGATGGATGGATGGATGAATGGATGGAAAGGGAAATACAGTGATGGATAGATGGTAAGATGGATGGATTGTTGAATGGATGGATGGAAAGAAAAATACAGTGATGAATGGATGGATGGATAGGTGGATGGATGGAAAGGCAAATACAATGATGGATGGATGAATGGATGGATGGAAAGGTAAATATAGTGATGGATAGATAGTAAGATGGATGGATTGTTGAATGGATGGATGGATGGATGGATGGATGAATAATTGGAAAGCAAACACAGCGATGGATGGATGATTAAATAGATGGATGGATGAAAAGGGAAATACTAGCATAGATGGATGGATGGATAAATGAATAATGGACGAATGGATGGACGAGTGAATGGAAAGGCAAAATCAGTTATGGATAAATGGATGGATGAATGGACTGAAAGGCAAATACAGTGATGGATGGATGAATAGATGGATGGAAAGGGAAATACAGGGATGGATGCATGGATGGGTGATGGAACTGTTTGTACAATATGTGTTTTACAGTATAATACAGCCCTTCATGTTCTTGACAGGTTTCATGAGACTCATTATTATTATGTGGTGCTGGGATACACTTGATTTCTGAGCTCACCATTGTAAACTGAAAGAAGAGAGCAAAAACACAAACCTCCAAGGACAGTTTACTGATGTCGTCTCATTTCTGTTCCTCTCAGACCCTCGGCAGGTTCAATCCTCTCCGCCCTGGTCCTATGAGCAGCCCTATCCTCCATACCTGAGCCAAATGACGTCTCCCTCCATCCACTCCACCACCCCGCTGTCCTCCACCCGTGCCACCGGCCTGCCCACCATCAGCGACGTGCCACGACGCCTCTCAGGTACTCACACCTGCAGAAACCACACAAATTAGGGTACGCTCACACTACGCTATCCGGACCATGCCCGGGTACGTTTCTCAAATTGTTTAACAGGTGTGAGTGCTCTGAATCAGGCCCAGGCTTGACTCAGTTGGCCAGTCCTGACCCGGTTGCAAGAGGAATGCCAGAGCCCGGTTCAATTGTAGTGTGCAAAGTGCGTCTGAGCCTGAAACTGGAGACATGACGTCACTTTTATACTGTTTCATATGGATTTATTAATCATTCTTACTTTTCAATGCACATGAACTGTCGTGGTTTATTAAAAACACAAACCCTTCGCTGCACGTCAGCTGCACCTTCAGCAAACCTCCCAATACCTGCAGCACGAGGACTTTTATGATCGTTTATGAGCATTAAAAGTAATGGATCTGTTCAGCTAAATTTTTCCCTGCGTGTCACTGCATTCCAAATGACTAAAAATAATACAAAACAATATAACTAAAGCAATGTCCACTAGGGCTGTGCAATTAATCGAAAATCCGATTTCGATTTCGGCTTTTAACGATTATGAAAAGCCATTAATCGAGATAAACGATTATTCCATCACGTACTGCCCCCTTTCCAGTTGTACATGTGTGAAAACTCTGCCTCTGCAAAGCTCACTTCCACGTGAAAGTGACTAAAAGCATGTGCTGTAATGAAACTTTTGCAGCACGGGATGCGCATCATTCATTTTTTTAAAAGCGCAAAAGAGCACTTGCTGTTGTGCAGGCACGTGCACACATAGGGCTCAACCTGTGCAGTGCACATGCCCTTTTTAGTCTTGGATAGAAAGTGCCCTTCCAAAATGATCAAAAGTGCCCCCGCGATGCGGCACACCCTCGGTCCCGCCCTTCAGTAGGCGCGCGACAACAAACCTCACCCCCCCCCCCTTCAAAAAATTTATCCTGCACATGCCCTTTAGACGGTCTCTGCACGGGCCTGCTGTTGTGTGTGCGCGCTGTGCTTAGCCTCTGACAGGTAGCGTGTGTGTGTTTGCGCGCCGCGCTTAGCCTCGGACAACAGAGCACACACACATCTACAGCGATCTTAATGTGAGCGCTTTAATGGTCAAATACATGCACATTTGTGTCAGAGCGCAGTGTTTAGTGATTATTCATATTAACCCTCATCTGTGTAATAAACAAACAAGTTGAGAATCAAAAGACACGAGAAAGAGAAACCATATCAGAGCCGCACAATTCTTAAAGTGACAGCGTGCGATATTCCTGCTGCTGCCGACTGTTATTATTAATCAATAATAAAATCAAAAATACAGTGAAGATGCTTAAAGCACAGTTTAAACATAACAGATTTAATAATTCATTTCTAATAACTGATTTCTTTAATCTTTGCTATGATGACAGCACATTATATTTTACTAGATGTTTTTCAAGATACTCAGCTTAAAGTGACATTCAAAGGCTTAATTAGGGTAAATAGACAAGTCATTGTATAACAGTAGTTTCTTCTGCAGACAATCAAACATATAAATTGCTTAAAGGGGCTAATAATATCGAGCTATTATAATAGGTTTCAAAATATTCAAACCTGCTTTTATTCTAGCTGAAATAAAATAAATAAGCCTTTCTCCAGAAGAAAAAAAATATTATAGGAAATACTGTAAAAAAACCTCTGTTAAACATCATTTGGGAAATATTTATATAAAAATAAATTCACAGGAGGACGAATAATTTTGACTTCAACTGATAATCGTTTTGAATAATCGTGATTACAATTATGACCAAAATAATCGTGATTATGATTTTTCCCATAATCGAGCAGCCCTAATGTCCACTGTGCTGAGCGAGTGCAATTCTCTTCCTGTTAAACTGAACAGTCACATCATCGCTGATGCAAGCGTGCTCTGGTTCGGAAGGCAAAATGCAGTGTGCCTGCAGGCCGTCAAGCGAGAGGGTAGGGGGGACAAGCGTGCTTTGGCAAGGTTCAAGGCAACTGTACCTAGTGTGAGCACATCCTTAGTGTTGTCATGATACTGCAATTTTAGTATCAATTGGTACTGACCTATGGGCCAAACTATGTGCGCTATCATACACCTGGCGCAATAAGGCGCAAGGTGTGATGCAATTGTTGTCTGCTAGTTTCAGCTCGACGCAAGTGTTGTTTTGATGTTTTGCAGCATGCTGTTCAATTGCGTTCTGGTCTAAAAATGGCAGTGTGTTCAGGCGCATTGCAGGTGCGTTGCTATTAGAGATGCGCGGATGGGCTATTATTTCATCCGCAACCGCATGACAAAATTCATCATCCGTCCGCCATCCATCCGCAGTAACATTTTTGACCAATTTTTAAAACCGCACCCGCCCGCCATCTGCTGATTGGGCTCTTTATTTGAATAGCTTATTCCTTTTTTTATTAAATGAATGTTTCTTTATTGATCATTATAGAATAGAGAATGACTTTAATGTAGACATGCAGTTAATCCAAACGTGCAAGTCATTAATTGACGACGCTTTGAAGTGATGCTAAAGATACGAGGACGTGTCTTTTCACTTGATTCGATTCCTCGGTCCTTGAGTCTTTGCATCCTTCCCTCGTAACGTTATCCCGGTGGGGTGGAAACACGAGGAAAGAAAGCAAGGAAAGGAAACGAGGATGCACAAATAAGAAATGAGAAGCACCCGAGCTCTCAGAATATCAGCAGTGAACTCTGTCTCCAATCGGCGCACAGGGACAAAAGTAAATAAATAGCCTAAATTAAACGCACTGTACTATACAACTTTTTTTTTTTATTGTAGCCTAATAGAAAACGCATTGACACATCATTTCAACATGCTGCTATTTAGCCTACTACTAAATGCCTATTTCACTTTATTTTTTAGTAAATAGACAGAATAATAAGTCATTTACATTATAGCCTAATAATGTTTACATTTGTAGTTGTCCATAGCAACCCCAAAAACGTACCTGCTTGCCTTGCACATCTAATTAATGGGCACAGTTTTTCGACTATTTTTTATTTTTTGCTGTGGATGTTATTGAGCTTGTAGAAATCGGAAACAACACAGTTCTGCGACACAGATGAACCTTTATTGATATCTCTATCAGACAATACCTATTTTATATGCCAAAAGAAACAACAGGCAGTAAAAAAAATATTAACATAAATATCTTAATGTAAGCATAGGCTATAGTCGCATGCTTTGGCAAACAGATGAAAATTTTTTAATAAAAACGTCATATCGTGCCTAAGCCTTGTAGGCTCAGTCACCCCCACAATTAGAAATTAAATTAGAAAAACAGATATGCCATCCCTCTTTGAGCGAACCTGACCAGGCTAAAGTGCATGTATGACAAGTGCCCCAATAACCCATGGATTTAGGATTATCCCCATTTCCCTCAAACTTGAAGCATAACGAAATACTATGCCATTAAAGTTGCGACAAAGAAATTCTGGCAAAATAACCTTAGCCTCGGAACGTAAAAGCGAGGCCAACATGTCTAGAATAGAATAGGCTAAACCAATATGAACGTAAAATTATCAGCTGACCGAACTCAAAAGTTTATACTGAACATATGTGTAGCCTAAATAACATAGGCTAATTGGTTTAATATGCCTGACCTTAGGTCTAGTTTGATTTTTTTCTTGGCACAATGCAGGAATAAAATAGCATCTACAGTGTCAGGATTCAGACGGGATCGCCTGCATAGCCACTATAATGCGCCCTGCTGCACTGAAGGAGCGCTCGCTCGCAGCACTTGTTGCTGAAATGCATAGAATTCTCTTGGAAAGGTGCTGTAGTGGGAATGCCTGGCCTTATTTCTCCCAAAAGGAAAGTAGATTTTCCTCTGCTGATCCGTCTATACTGAAGTTTGTAGAGGAATACTTCTGTACTTCATCCAGAATTAGTGTATCCGATTCCTCCTCCCATTCTGTGAAGTCAGTCCTAGGCTTTTTCGTTGGTGCGCCAGTTATGAATATAAAAACAGTACAACCGCCCGCCACCCACCCAAATTTAATTAAAATATTATTTTTTCGTAACGTCATCCGCCCGATCCGCGGTTTATCCGCGGAGTCCGCGGCTATAACCGCCAACCGCGCATCTCTAGTTGCTATTTTGAGGAACTAAAAAAGACTACTCAATAGACCAGCTTAGAGGAGGTCTAAAGTCCAGCGCAGAGCTCGCGTTAGTTGTGCGCCTTGCTTACACATTGCTTACTACACACAGGATGTAAAGCAATACGCAAATATCTTTATGATATACAATGAAAAATAATTAAAGGAATAAAATATTACAAAATTATTATTTTCTACATTAATATTAAAAACACTGCTTTCATGCCTTCATCTCGGGGTGCTTTTTCAGTTTATTCATGACAATTTGCTTTTGTATAATGTTATTATTAGTAGTGGTAGTATTTATTAAATGCATATTGCTAATTGTTTTGTTAAAAACAAGCTTAGATTTGCCCATTTGACCATATGGGGCACAGCTTGTGTATTTGGATATAACTCGGGTTTTTGAGCACACTTCGTTATTATTGTTCATTTATTTCTTTGCTGGAACTGAACCTAGAACTGAATTTAGAAATAGTTTTGAAACAAATCTTTGCACTTAACAACTGAAATGAATTATGTAGCCTAATTAATGTGTTCAGTGGGGTCCGTCTAAGCTGTTTCCTTATCCACGGAAGAGAATGAAAGTGAAAGTAAAGAATGAGGAGGCTCATTCTCTCATTCTTGTGCTGTAGATGCCCTGTTTATAACTGTTTTCTCGCTAGTGAAGTGTTCAGATTTTCTTCTAACAAAGTCCGCCATGTTAATAGCAAATGCACCATGGAGCGACGCAACTGACTCTTAAAGTCAATGGGATATGAGATTCTGATTGGTTTATTCTCAAAACACTCCTGTAACTCATTAAGAGAATAAGCTCAACCCTGTTAGACCATGCGCCATGGTGCAAAGTGGATTTTTTTGTCATTAAAATAGCAAAAATGGATTCTGATATGCCCTTTTTGCTTTT